AATAGCAACTGTAACCCTGGCCCGGTAAATTAATTTCTTCATTGGGATCAATTCTAATCGTGTTCTGCTCCTTGGTTCTAGACAAAGGGATTTTATCGTTTGTCCAACCTAAGCTGTGACCTGGAATGAATAGATTAGATCATAGGCCTCAGACAAAAATACGTTTGCATTTTACATTTTACGCATTTAGCTGACACTCTTGAGAGATTTGTAATGAGAGTAGGTTTCATTTCGCTGCGTCCAAAAGAAGAGTCATGGCCTTTTTGCCCTTACAATAATGCTGTGATCATAAAACAGTCAGGGAAGAGAACTGGCAGTGCTTCAGAGAGAAATGAAATGAGCGTTAAGCAGAGACGTTTATACAGAGCAATTAAAGTAAGTGCAGAGGGGGCTTCATCACATAAAAAGAGTTTTAAGCAATGGAGTGCCAAGAGTGAGGAGACATGAGCAGGTTGGTGCGGGCAGAGGAAATCTACCAGGCTTAATACAGCAGAACACGGGTTGCACCAAAGCCTTGGAGGTTTTCCAGGTGTAGATTTCTGCTCATGTTTCCATCTGCACCAAGGTTTTAAATTTAAAATGTGCAGTCAGGAGGAAGTGCAGGGCATGGGAGAGTTTGGAAATGTTGACGCCAAAGTAGCCTGGTGAATACCGGATGAGTTGAAAGGAGCTGGAGGGAGACTTTCAAGAGGCAAGGAGTTACAAGAGGTCAGACAGAAATCAGTCAAACTTAAGCAAGAAGTTGTGCTGAATACCTGATTCTCGTCAGCAGTGATAGATTGTAGAGAAGAGTTGGGGAAAAGCAGTAACTCGGCCTCGTTGAGACTGAAGACGACAGAAAATGCAGGATTTCTAGCAAGCGAGAACTGAAAGTTATCAGGCCAGCGACAGTTTGTGCCCCAAGCCTCAGCTCAAGAAACGCCATGAACTGATGTGAAACCACTGACTTGTGTTTTGGAAGTTCTCTCTCATCCGACAGTACAGTTGCAGCCTGAGGCTCCAGAGGCGGATATGTCTTTGTACATCAGCCTGCGCCTGAGGCCCTGGCCCTGCCTTGCTCACCAACTCCTTCTTCCTCTCCTCCCCTCGTTTATCCCCTGGCAGTGCTTCAGAGAGAAATGAAATGAGCGTTAAGCAGAGACGTTTATACAGAGCAATTAAAGTAAGTGCAGAGGGGGCTTCATCACATAAAAAGAGTTTTAAGCAATGGAGTGCCAAGAGTGAGGAGACATGAGCAGGTTGGTGCGGGCAGAGGAAATCTACCAGGCTTAATACAGCAGAACACGGGTTGCACCAAAGCCTTGGAGGTTTTCCAGGTGTAGATTTCTGCTCATGTTTCCATCTGCACCAAGGTTTTAAATTTAAAATGTGCAGTCAGGAGGAAGTGCAGGGCATGGGAGAGTTTGGAAATGTTGACGCCAAAGTAGCCTGGTGAATACCGGATGAGTTGAAAGGAGCTGGAGGGAGACTTTCAAGAGGCAAGGAGTTACAAGAGGTCAGACAGAAATCAGTCAAACTTAAGCAAGAAGTTGTGCTGAATACCTGATTCTCGTCAGCAGTGATAGATTGTAGAGAAGAGTTGGGGAAAAGCAGTAACTCGGCCTCGTTGAGACTGAAGACGACAGAAAATGCAGGATTTCTAGCAAGCGAGAACTGAAAGTTATCAGGCCAGCGACAGTTTGTGCCCCAAGCCACAGCTCAAGAAACGCCATGAACTGATGTGAAACCACTGACTTGTGTTTTGGAAGTTCTCTCTCATCCGACAGTACAGTTGCAGCCTGAGGCTCCAGAGGCGGATATGTCTTTGTACATCAGCCTGCGCCTGAGGCCCTGGCCCTGCCTTGCTCACCAACTCCTTCTTCCTCTCCTCCACTCGTTTATCCGCCAGTGCCACCAGAGCATCCAGCTTAAGTGCCCACTCTTCTGGTTGGCACACTGAGAAGAAATGCAGCGGAGAAAGACAGAGAGAGCAAGAGAAAGGACAGACTATGAATGTGATTCGCATTGAAGTGTAACAGTATTTTAAACCCATGCACTCTTATGATATTTTAAAACACTCACAGACAGGGTTATGCCTGGCTCCTGCCTTTGTCAACACGTGGAGCAGAGGTGAATTGTGAGTAAGGGCAGCCACATCCAGCGGGACCAGGCCCTGTTCGCTCACCCTGTTCACCGCCTTCTCCCTCTCTGTTTCCCAGTCCTTCTTTTTCTTCTCACCTCTCTCCCACAAGCTTCCTTCTCCTCCTCCTATTCCTCCTCCTCCGCAGTTGGTGTGATCTCTGGACAGCAGGCTTTGTACAGCCAAAGTGTCCTCATTTTCCACTGCCTCCCACAGGGTCTTGTACTAACAGGGAGATGAAGAAAGGGTGCAGGGCGGCAGGATGGTGAGTAGGTGAGACAGAAAGAAGGAGAGATTTATTTAGTCACTGTGCAAAAGAAGAGACGGTGGATGAGACAGGACACATAAATCAGACCATAAATTGAAGCAGCAGTCTCGCCTGGGATAATGCTTCCCTAGTTACAGAGTCAGCATGTAATGTCAAAGAAAGATCTAATCATTTCTACCATAAAACCAAGTCAGAGGACAGGAAAACATTTCAGACAATGTGATCAGACCATTCATAAAAATGATGCTTAAACGTCTTACAGCATCTGCAGACTTGCTGAGGCGTTTGGGTGTGTCCGTTTCCCCGTGAGCAGATGACTCTCCACCCTTCAGTCTGACAGACAGGCTTCTATAGATGCGTTTGGGCGAGACAGGACCAAGGGAGCGCCGGCGCTGGAGTGTGTTCCTCATGGATACAGACATGACAAGAGAGGAGAAGAGGGAACCCAGGAAGACAGAGAATAGCTGAAGAGACTTAAAAGCAGTTGAAGGTGTGATGGATTGGTTAGTTCATGAAAAGTAAGATTAGGACCCCCGAGCTAAGAGGCGTGGAAAAGGAAGATGGGACGAGAAAAGTGACATCTGAAACAGAAAAACAAGAATGTGACGAGCATATGAGGAAAGGTGAAAGCCATTAGCAACCTGGAAGAGTGTATAATGGGGAATGAGGTGAGAAGTTAACAGAAGGGGGGGGAAGACAATATACAGTCAGACTCACACAGATTATTCTACAGTTAAAGCAATTTTCTGCTGACTTGAAGGGTGAGGCTGAGAGCAGTGCTATTGTGTGGGTGGATAAATGGATAAAAGTTACCACGCCTGTACACAGTAGATGAAAAATACCTTGAAGCATTTATTTTTGTGGCTCCTACCATTCTCCCTTTTGTTCTTCTGTTACTCGCTATTATAGGACACAGGCTTTATTTGCTCTGAGTGGAGTCTCTCGGCACAAAGCAACCCACCCATTAATCTAATTAACTAAAGAAAGGGAATCTCATGTGGAAGAGCCAAAATTATGTCCTTATAATAAATGTCTTCATATCATCAGCTTATAGATAAATCATCGCCAGTACAGTAATGACACTTCATTATCATTTCCATTGCCTTTTCATCAATTACCGGTACAGTCTTTCACTATTGTGCTTGAAAATCTCTTATGTTTTTCCTACACTTGGAGCAGAATGCTGTCTGACATAGCCCCCCCCCCAAAATCTGCAAGTTTTCTTTTTCATTTGTCACTGCCTTTCTTCTCGTTCCCGCTTTCTGCCCTCCCTCTTTTCACAGTTCCACAGTTTGACTGATTACCACATCGCTTTGGTTTGCATCATGCCCGGAGCACTCAGATCTGGAGAGCATCTTGACAAAGAGAAGATACTCAAACTCTGTCATCTCTCGTTCTCTTGTCATCGTTTTCCCACATAAAGAAAAGCCTCACATTTTGGGATTGTATTTTTAAAATTTCATCTCACTATCAAGTCAAGTCCTGGTGTGCAGCTGAGTAGAGCACTATCCCTGTAGCTGAGACCAGGAAGTGGGGGCTCTGGCCACAGCCACACCACCTCTCTGCTATTTCCACGGTACCTCCTCTGTCATTGTGCAGCTCACTGGCTCACACCTCGCCTACACTGTCTGCATATGCATGGGTGCAAGGGCACTGGGGTAATACTAAGACTTAATCCCCTGTCTGTCCATTGTGTCTTACACAGCTGATGAAACAGCTGAGACTGCCTTAGTGTTTGCCCTTTCAGAGGACACACAAAGATAAGACAAGGCAAAACATCTGGGAGACGAAGAAAAGTGTTTGCAAAGTGTGCTATCGTTGCAGTTGAGAGAATAACAGTATCTTTAGTCTTAGGCGCTTCAAAATAACCTATGCTAACCTGTGCAGAGACACCACAGAGTCACTGTGGCTTTATTGCACGTCAGCGTGTCAGGCTGTGGTCCACATGCTGCTTATTTGCAAATAGGCTTTCTGTTTCTTCAGTCTGCTAAATGCTGCGGTTGACAGGTTCAGCCGTGCATGGAAACATGCGATGACTAGAATTTCTAATCTCCCAGGAAATGATACAATGCATTCATTTAAACTACACAGAGCATCACCCTCGAGGGCTGTGATGATGAAAATATATGTCTCTCCGATTATTGAGACACAAGACGCCGCAACAGGAAAAACACAACACAACACAAAAAGCAGGACAAACCAGTGACATCCCAGGTTAAGTCCAGACTACATCCTAACTCGTCTCAAAAGTTGATAGGAAGTTTCTACAAGTTACAAAACTTCACGATACATTTAATTATCTTTATATTAGGCTTTAAAGGGTAATCCTGGGGAATAGACTAGACTGTAACTATATCGTCGTAAATCTATCAAAAACAGTTAACAGTATTCTACTTGGCACAGCCGAACAAAGCTGTCCATACATTTTGAACACCTACTAGCTGAATGAACATTAACTTAACTAGGTATTAATCTCTCACCCTCAGTCGACATTTTCCTTTTTATCGGCCTTATTCCTTCGACGCACTGGTGTATGTTTCAGAAAAGACCGATAACTGAGCTGAGAGTCTCCATTTGACCAACTCTGAGGAGCTTTCCTGAGGTTGAAGCGCACCTGAACGTTTCACTCGAATAAGGACATCGCCGCTACACACGCGCGCGTCCTCCTCGTCCCGCCCTCTTTCTATCGTGTCCTTTAAGGTTTAGACCTTTAAACAACTAACAGCTGTGTTGTCTGATACAGGCTTCATTGTGCTTTTAGACTGTAGTATAGCCTAATCCAGAATTGTATAGGATTTTATCAAATCAGTAACAGTATGACTTACAAATATATATGTCCTAAATAGGGTTCTAGTCTTTATAATAAATGTTTTATTAAAAGTGAATGGCTATTGCTTTTGAGAAGTGAAGCAGCTTGGTGCTACCAGTAGCCTGTTGTGTTCACTTACCTCGGGCGTTGCCATCACAGCGGGCACATTTGTCATTATTAACTTTACAATAAACTGTTACTACATGACCTTCACTGTCTTCGCTGGAAGCAATTATGGTGCGATAATGTGAGCAGAGTAATGTTCTGACAAAGTGTGGGTTGAGGTGACTGGAAAAAGATTTAGAGCTATATTTAGGGTAGCTGTGATGGCGTCTGTCTGTGTGGTAAAATAATAGCAGCAGAACATATTTCATAATCCATCAATTTGTGATTGTTACATCGCAGACTGATATTCTTGCGTGAGGGTGACTGTGAGGTGGTGGTGAGGGGTTCTACACAGGAAGCGGAGACAAGTGGAGAGGAAAGTAAAGGTCAAGCACTGGTGGGAAATATTTCTGCACGTAGTCTCACCAGTGCTTGGACAGAAAGGTTTGTCTTTGTGGTGTATTGTCCCCTGAAGAATTGTCTATGCGCAATAGATGTCAAATAAAGGTGACAAATATAGGCCTACACTGGCACCACCCTGAGCAGTGAGGAGAGCTCTCTGTGTCTTTCTCTCTTTCTCTCTCTTAGGGGCCAATAAAAGTGAAGAGACTGATGGATTTAGCTCTTGTCAAAGCACCAGTGGAGACTTAAGAAACAAATATTTTCCACCTTCTTCTCAGAGGTCTGCTACTCTTCTCTGTCAGCGAAACAAGGCTTTGACCACTTTCTGCATACACAGTCATAAGTTCACTCTGCCTCCAATATGTTTGCTGGAGCACAATGAATTTGTCAGAGTCAACACATACTGCACACTGACAAACTCCAAGAGATTATCCTGCTGTACATGCTTGTGCACACTCGTGCGCACTGCCATACAGACACAAACAGCTGAGGTGGCTAAATTTAATGTCATGCACTATTTTGATGTGCAGTGATCAGTGTTTAAAATATCAGTTGTTTATAATCTGACATGTTGTGGTGGTAGTTGATACTCGCCCCCACACTCCTGTCATCAGATAGTTCCTCAGTAGCCGAGAGGCGTTTGTTGTCATGGTGATAACCAAATTGTGGCTTTCACTGCTAAATGAGACTGCAAAACAAACTCAAGCATCCCACTACACACTCACGGTAGCCTATATTATTTAGCAGTAGCATTCCCTTGGGAATAAACTGATGCTGACCATTTTGATAATAATAATGCACCAATATGCCATTTAATACCCTTGAAGTTTACCATTACATACTTTTGATAGTATTTTTGTATAAGTAACTGAGCTCCACTGTGAAGAACAGTCCATTCAGAAGAAACACGGAACCTAAATAGCTGTTTAGGGAATTCAGGTAAAAAGGGTTATAATAAATACTTAGTTGTTTTGTACATTGTGTTAACGTTATTGTAGAATAAAGTTTTGATTGGAAAAAAAAAACGGCGCCATACATCCTTTAGCTGAAACGCCAGTATAGCATAGTTAGATTTTGTTAGCTGCATAATGTATACGTTTAACGGTTAGTTCATTGAATTGAATACAGATACTACATATAATAGCGCCGTCAATACTTAAGCTTTTTTTACATAACGCTTTAAAAAGAAAACGCCGTCAACATTTGTTTTTGAGGAGCAGGCCGGGTAAGATGCTGATTAGCCAGGTAGCAGCATTTGGCTAGCTTATCAGCTAGCTAACTGTTAGGGGTAGCTAATATTAGTAGCTAGGCTAGCAAACTTTTTTAAGCCACCCCCTTGAGTTGCAATTTTCATTTTTTTTTATAACAGGTGAAAGGAACAAAACCATGAGCGGAGACATTGTTTATGACAAGATCCACTTTAGACATGATCCAAAATGGAGTGGCCGGCTAGGCCCAGCGGAGGGGCGCGGGATGCTGCTCTGTGTGGCCTGTGTCATTGAAATGACTGAAAGTGAAGACATTGCGGTGAGGAATTTATAAGTTATGGGGTGTGTTATCCTCCAGTATTTCCTGCCTCAGGTAGTCTACTTAGGTTTGATCAGAAAATATTTTTTGGAACCTTCATTTCCCGTGATGCATCTCTCCCTCTATCCTTGTACAGTCAGTGAGGAAGTCCTATGCCTTGTCTGCTATCAGTGATGTGCTGAAGTGTTCTCCAGGGGCTTTGAAAACGCTGCTCCAGCAGGACCTCTATGTCTCTACGCGTTTCACATCTTCTCTACTGGGTGAGAAACACCATATACTAACCTGAGACTAGGACGTGAGGAAAGCACTAGTAAGAATGACTAAGTGTGCTTTCCTGTAATGTTTGGAAGGTTTCCTGTTGATTACAAAAGAAGAAGCATCTGCTGTGACTGAGCAATGCACATAGGATCCTTCATTTGATATTGATTATTTCTAGTAATGAGCACACGTTTTTGTAGACATAAAACCATCTAGGGCTGGAAATTGATATTGACCTCCTAATTCACAAAGTCCAGAATGGTTAATTTTGATTTGGTTCAGTTCTGTTACATTTATGATGGTTTGGTTATTTCAAATACATTTTTTTTTACATTCAACAAGTGAGCGAAACTGTTTCCTTGAGTATAAAATTATGTCAAGTTCATATTATATGCTGTAAACAAATTTCCTGATTATAATATTGTGGTTCAAGGAACTACTAAAGCATGACATCTATTTTTTTAGGTGTACATGTGTGAAACATTTCAGCAGAAATAAATAAAGGAGTAATAAAAATACTGCATCCACTAATGGGGAGGCCACAGTGGTGCGGTGGGTAGAGCAGTCGTCTCCCATCCGGAAGGTTGAAGGTTGAATCTCAGTGCCTGCAGTCCACAAGACAGTGACAGCAACATGTTGGGAGTTAGACTATATGATCTGCTCTAGGGGTGTGTGATACTAGATATAGCTCCTTAGGGTACAGGATATACCCTATACTATATGTTGATCATGCAGTGACCGCCAGACAGAAAAACTGGGAAAAATCTTTTAGTAAGCATCTTGTAGTCTTGTAGTCAGAGATATCTTTTCAACAAAGCAAATGATAGCTCAGATCACTGTAAAGAGTTTATTTTCATCCTGGACCTCTCGGGTTTGCTGGGTCTGCACTACGAGGTAGAGTCAGCTAACCACCCTGCTCTAAATGTAATGAACTTTATAATAGACAATAACCTCTTTGTGCACATTGTAACAGCTCATTTTCCACAAAGAAGAATATTTTCCACACCATTCAGTATGAACCGAACCATGTGTAACAAGTGACCTCTGCAAACACAGAACATTTAGTGCAGATGTACAAAAGGCACAAATGCAAAGACTGATCTGGAGATTTTAATCGACATTGAATTGTTCAAATAAGAATCACACTTATTTGGAAAATCAGTATTTTTATCCAGCCCTTTAACCTTCCTTCTCCTTGTACATACTCTCCACTGGGTCAGGCCACGGTCGTGCTAGTGCTGCAGTCACGTCACAGCTTTTCTGCAAGGTCAGACTTGAACAAGCAAGACAATAGATCTCGCCATATTACGTGAGCAGGAAACTACAGAATTATTCACATAGTTAATAGAGTTGACCTGCAGTTCAGTGCTTTTCTTTCTTGTTACAAGCCTAACCAAGGCAGACACTTACCATCTGTGATAGTATTAAATTAGTACATTTATTTCCTTTATAGCTTATACTCATGTGGACTGTCTGTCTAAATATTGCTAAGATGTTTTTCCTTCCCATCAAAATACATTTCTATTGACAACATTTATTTAGTTTTTTGTTTAAAAATGTTGAGAACATTGGTTCAAAATATCAGCTACTGGTATCTTCCATCTAAAGAAGTAAACAATCGTAAAACTAAAGGAACTGTCAGGTTTGCCCGGCTGCACCTGCCTCTCACCTCCCTCTCTTTGTTTCTTCAGCTCCTGATTACACCACCTTGCACACCTGCTTCACATCCCTTGATTAGCACCAGCTGCACTTCATTAGTCCTTCACCTTACTTATACCCTGCTCACTTGGTTAGAAACGCTCTGGTAGGGAGGTGAGCGAGTAAAAAAAAAAAAAATGACGGACCCAGGTAGCTGACTTCGGTATATATATATATATATATATATATATATATGAAAAAAAAAAAAGATTCAGGGGACGTGAGGCAGGTGTGTCAGATAAAGAAATCAGGGGTAAGGGAGCTAAAATAGAGGGAGAGAAGTGAGAGAGGCAGGTGCAGCCGGGCAAACCTGACACTTACTGCTCCCTTGCCAGTTTGTTGATGCTCTCAGGCCAACAATCAGCGCCATTCTCTTCACCAATGTGCATACTGTATGTTTATCCAGTTTTGTTACCTCTTGTCCACCCCGCTCCTCCCAACCTTCTCCACGGACAGTTACCTCCAGATCATATCTCCTCACCACTCTTTCAGCCTCCACCAGCCAGGTGGGTATACAGTCGTCAGACTCCATCTACGTACCACCCATCTCTACTCTGTCTCCTCAGCCATTACCACCTCCACCGGCCAGCCCAGGAGTGACCTTAGCATCCGCAGCTAGGCCAGCTTCATCTATGCCTCCCATGTACTGTTATTGCTAGCTGATCAGCACCTGGTCATTCTCATTCTCCTGTTTAGCCTTCCTTCTCACCTCACCTGTGTATATAGTCTGTATAGCACAAATAAATATTGCTTGCACTGAAGTCAGCCGTGTGGGTCCGTTCGTTTTTCGCTCACTCACCCTCCCGTGTGTGAGCGTTTCTAACAGGAACGCTTGTCATTATTTGTGTTTGTTAGCTGTTTTTATATTCTTTTGACAGCAGAGCCAGACAAACCGCCTTCTCTGTGTAAAATCAGAATATTTAACAACATTCACAGCTTGCACAATACAATGGTCATTTTTATCTTGATTGTATAGTATATAAAATCATTAATATGACATGAGTGTGACGAACCATTGAGGAGTTAGTTTATGATATTCTTACACTCACCACTGCTTTAATTATACCACATTGTATTTTTATGGTACAACATTGTCAGAGGATATTCACTAGATGAATTTCACTTAGTTATTGCAGCATTAATTATTTGGCCAACACCATTTGAGCTCTAATCAAATAATGCAGTGAGTTTATGTGATAAAATGGTAAGCTAGTAAAAACTGAGCAATATGACAAGACACTAAAAGAGTTACGGTTGGCTTCATCATGTGCCAGTGAGCGTAATCCAATATAAAATATACCTTTCATATCCCCCCTATTATGCTGTATTACATGCTTGTGGAGTAGGATTTACAGAGGCAGCCACAGAGACACTTACTTTGTGACATGGCAGCAGCACGAATCCCCTTTTAATGTCTGTGTATCTTCTATTCTGTCAAGCTACCATACTTCTTAACCTAGTTTGTTCCCTCTTTCATGTACGACTGTTCAGTTCCATTTTATGATACCTTTGTGAGAGCTTTGTAGGTTTAACTGAAGTGAAGTCTGCTTTTTAAATCTAGCCTGTTGTTTCTGTTGCTGTTCCCTAGGGATGCTTCACACTGTGGAGGACCAAGCCACTCTGGAAAAGGTTGACCAAGGTGAACAGATGCTACTTTGTGGTTTGGATGAAACGTGTGAGCGTGTGTATACACAAACTCACATACCCTACTCCTGTTTGTACTCACAAACGTAGGCACAGACTATATATGTAGTTGCTGTGATGCAGACTGTGAGAGTGCACACAGGCTGTGTGTCACCTCTTGTAATCAGAGAAACAAACTCTGTGACTGTGGTATTTGTCACTGTTGGTAACTAAGCTGATCTTACATGGACTCCACCGTATCTGTTTCTAAATGTACCATTTTTCAAGGCTTTGACCTCATTTAACATGCTGATTTTCTTTCACTGCTGCACTATGCATAGCTGATGTCTCTGTTTCATTTTGTAATGATCAATTGAGGCAGCTATATGCTGCTTTTTAAAATGTTGGCCTCTGAGTGAACTCTGAGTTATTAGTGCTCAGCCAGATTTTTCTCACTGCAGCCAAGTCTTTCAAATTGTACAAAAAAAAAAAAGTTATGGTACCACAAATGCAAATGACAGATTGATTTTATGGTAACTGTCTTAAAATGCTTTAGGGACCACTTTGCTGTAATAGTAGAGTGCTTATAATGTGACAGCTTTTGCATTTTGCACAGGCAGTGTGTGAAGATCACATTGTGACACTCATTTGAGCCCTGTAAATAATGCAGTCATTATGTGTGTGTGGAGAAGAAATAAATCCTGGAATCCTTCAGAACTGTTCTAACATCAGCTGAGCAGCCATGTAAAGCAGCCAACTTAACGGGGGCTTTGGTTTTAGCTGAGAGATAAACCTAGATCTTGCAGTGATATGAGATGCCGTGTTAATAATCAGTATGGACCCTTGGAAGCATATAATGACATCAGAACTAGTTCAAGAATCCACAACACGCTATCACAGACGCTCACAAGATAAACACTGAAATCCTGAAAAGAAAATTTAAAAATCTTGAAAAGTTTTTTTTTTTTTTTGTAGAGATATATCTAGAAAAGAAATTGTGCATAACTGTAATGTTTACTTAATGAATGCATCTTTGTGCTTCTCTTTTTGTTTGCTGTGTGAACCTGCTGTGTGTGTCAGTGCTGGTTCAGCTAGTTTTAGAGCTCCAGAGTGAGGAGTCGTTTCGTTTTGTTTTGGATGAGATTCTCAAACAGGTGAGACAAACACTTTTACAGAGATGTAGAGAAACACACCTGTTCATCTGCACATGCAGGAGCACACTCCACATCATAAAACATTCAGCAGTACCTGTGTCACTAGCAGCATACCCTCCCAGGGTAAACAGACAGTGTGCTTATCTCCCTCTAGCTACTGTCACCAGTGGAGAGGCCTTATTTTATGAGTCATTACAAAGAATGAATTACAGGCGTCTGTATAATCAGATTATTATGCAGTAGGTTCAGAATGTATTCAGACCCCTTGAGTCTTTGCACACATTTTACTGTGTTAGATTTAATTGTAAATGGATAAAATTGATGTTTTTGCCCATAAATGTTCACTCAATTATCCTTTATGACAAAATGAAAACATGCTTTTAGAATTTTTTTTCAGATTTATTAAAAATGAAAAACTGAAATCTCTCCTTTACAGAAGTAGTCAGACCCTTTGTAGCAGCTTCAGCTTAGAGTCATCTTGGATTTATTCACTTTATCCCATTCCTTCAGGCAGATATAAGTCTGGGCTTTGGCTGAGCCTGTCACTGGCAGTCAGAGACATGCCCTGAAGTAACTCCAGTGTTTTCTTGGTTGTTAGTTTCAGGTCACTGTCATGCTGAAAGGTGAACCTTCGCCCCAGTTTCAGGGCTCTGCAGGAGACTGGGGTGAGGGTTCTGGAGCAGGGACTGGAGTAGGTTTTCTTGTGTTTGGCTGCACTCATCCTTCTCTCAGTTCTTACTAGTCTCCCTGTTCCTGCTGCTGAGATAGCATGATGCTGCCCCCCCCACCGTGCTTCACCATAGGGATGGTGTTTGCAGGTGATGGAGCAGTGCCTGGAGTTCTCCATATAGTGACATAATGCTTGTTCTGACCAAAGAGTTCAGTTTCTGTCCCATCAGACCAGAGTCTTTGTCCTCCTGCTCTTAGACCCATTAGATGCAGTGTGACAAACTCCAATCTGCGTCATCTGCCTTTCAATCGCAGCGGTTTCTGTCCAGCTGCTCGACCATAAAGACCTGACTGACTGAAAACTGCTCAGATGGTCTTCCTTGAGCAGGTTTCCCCATTTCTGTTGTAGATGCAGCTCATGTATAATTAAAGCAAATAGGATGCACCTGGTCACAATTTGAGGTGTCACAACAAGGGGTTTGAGTACATGAAAAACCTTTGAATTTTAATTCCTTTGAAAAAAAAAATACAATTGATTGGCAAAATAGCAATCATCCACACAGGATGCTCTAAATTTACAACACCATAAAGTGGAGAGGTCTGTTAAGCAGCCACTGTGTAAGAAGCTCTGGAGTAAGTTGGAGAGTTCTAGTAGTTGTAGCTTTGCCTGTAAGGCACTGGTCACCACTGTTATTCTTTAAAAATGTGACATGCTCTTTTTATCTCATGCATTCCTGGTCTAGCTGAGCGAACAGCTCACTGTAAAGGGTTTTGCGCCCACATTCAGATTCTTGGGGAGCCTAGTCGAAGCAGTTCCCACTGTGGCCTGTGTCCTGGTGACTCAGTATGGTGAGAAAATGCAACAGACACCCAGTCACATTTCACAGCTAAACAGGAGCTGGTCTAAACAGGGAAAGCTTTCATGTGAATTTAAATATTTTATATTTTTCTCCATATCAGGATGTCTCAATAACCAGAGTTTTGAAATATAATTCCTGAAATGAAAGATGTAGAACTTCTATAGTTCACTTTTGCTGATAGAGTAGAGGTGATAAATCCATATCTCTACCTTGACACTTTTCTCATTAGTGGATTGAAAAGAGGATCACTGAACCTGTTTCCTTGCTGAACTGTCCTAGAGCAAGGAAATGAACTCCTATAAAGTGCGAACCTGCTGCTCTGAAGCAGACGCTGACCTCTGGCTTCTCAGTGCAGGGGGCAATCAGGGAGGTGCGTTTTCCTTTAAGGGAGAATAAAGAATCCACAAAAAAGTTTGAATCAGGAATAAAAATTCAAGAGTAACATGGTCAGGTCAGGTCAGATCTCAGATGGCTCCATAAAATAAAAAACTAAAACGTTTACGTGATGAAGGGAAAATTCACTTCAGATGATGAGATCTAGGAATATTAAAGTTCACCTCTAGTGGAAGAAGAAAGATGTGAAAGAATATTTGATTCTTTGCGTCCGTTGTTCTCTCCAGACAGGCATATCCACAGTGCAATCAGCACAGCTTATTTGGGCCTTTTCAGCTATATCCCAAATGCATAGAAATAGAACTCGCTGCTGCCCTACATGCCAGAGGGCGTACAGGGCTCTAAGTAAGTAAGCAAAGCATAGAAATAGCTACTAATGCTGTGGCCACTTTTGAAATGGTCGTCCCCATGCTGTGTTCACCCTGCCCACTCCCTCAGCTGCAGAGAAGTGACAAAAAAGTCACCAACTTGTATTTTTCTTATTCTTTCCCCTGAACACTCTCTTCAGCTGTTATGACCTTTTTCAATTACACTCCAGCTGCAGTGAGAGAACTGTTCTGTGTCCATAAAAATTCTGCCTGCATAGCCAATCCCAAGACTACACAAGTTAGTAATACATGTTCGATCAACCTTTCCCCTGAAATTCTCCATATGTGAGGATATATTTATATCTGTATGTGCCATTCTCCAGGGTAGTTTGGTGTGCCGACAGCGCACCTCATCACCCCTCCCATGACGGAATCTCTGCTACAACAGCCTCCATGATGTCTGTCTGCTCACTGAATCATTCTCTGATCAGTGGATGCTGTTAATCATCTTCAGATGTGTGTGTGCGTTGTAGTGTGTTTGTGTCATGTCTTTGTTGGCAAGGTTCAGTATCAGCCTTATGTCGAATGTGCAGGCATCATATTTATTTCAGTATGCCACGTGTGTCCACCTCCCATGTATTTTCATGAGTTTTACAAGCTCCCCTGAGCAGCCATAGGTAGGTGATGGGTTGTCACAGTGCTGATGCAAAATGCAAGCTGCCCCTGTTGACTGTGTGTGTTTGTGTGTGGCCTGTCACTCAGCAAATCTCTGTGGGGATGTTTGGACTAATAACAGCAGTGTGGCATTGACAACGTAAGGCCAGAGTGCCCGAGACTTTTCACTCTCTCCCCGACTCACGTCCTGTCTGTCTCCCTCTTCCCTAAAAGAGGGAGTAGGGAAGGGGGAGGAAGCATTAATGAGATAAGGAGAGAGGAAGGTAAAGACAATGAGGAAGATAAGGGAAGGAAAGAGGAACTGCAGGTTGAGATGGCAGCTCAGTTATCTGACAAGACTACACATCGATGTACCATTTTGTTAGGTCAGTCTGCACTTCCAGCCTTATTCCTCTGCAGACATTTGAAGTACAGAAAAAAAATATTTTTGTGCTTTTGGTGGCGATTTATTTGGTTGGACCAAACAAATAAATGTTGTATGTGGGAAACACTGGAAGCTGAAAGCGTAAAAAACAAGAGATGAGACAGAGATGTGTTTAGTTAAGCAGGGTGAAGCAGCAAGTGGAGAACAAAGCAAGAAAATCACAAGACGAAAAGGCACAGCTTCACTGTGGGCAGCAAAACAACGGACAAAGCTAATGAAAAAAACTTTCCCTGTCAAAGAAAACCTGTTTAGTCTTTTTTGTTTCAGTTCTCTGTGTGTGTGCATCATAAAACGTGATGTTAAACAAGAGTCATCCTTCACTCTTATATTTGGTTCCTTTCATTTGCATCCTCTGTCAGTCAAGGTCTTATCTCTCTCCTTCCACTCTCTGTCTCTCCTCATGCCAGGCTCTCATCTTGGTTGCCTCATATATTTTGGTTTAATCAAACATGTCTGGGAGCCTCTCCTGCCCCACATGGGTTTGATCTGCTTCACAGAGCAGCTGGGCCTGGCTCTCCACCTCTGTCATCTCTTTCTCTCTTTATTCTAGACTTGCTGAGTCTCTGCTTCTCTGTCTCCTCTCACCTGTAGTGCTGCCCTGTGCTTTAACCCTGGCTACACTGTGTGCTGACACCTCTCTGTGTGTTTGTGCCTCCCCCTCCAGCTTCTGTACCCTTATTTTCTCATACTTTTGCACTCTAATGCTGTGATTATATCCACATTAATCCAGTAGTTTGGTTATTATTGCTGCCATGTAAACGCTCACGGTTATGTTGCTCACATTAAGACACTTGACCAACAGCTTTGGTTCTTTAATAAGGTTTTCCATGCTGTTCCAATACATCGATCCTTTTATAAAACTGTAGTGTACTTCTGTATCATGTATAGTGACCATAGTGTGATGGGGGCATTGGCACCATGGCAGAGACCACATACCGTATTTATTCAGGGTTTTCCTTTCATTTGTCACCTGTCTGAGTTTCTCACTGTTCTTTCGTCTCTCTGTGAGACTATGCGTACATGGCTCTCTCCCCTGTATTTGACTTACACTCTCTCGCCCTCTAGAATTCTCTTGACCACTGACTCAGCCTTTCTAGCACTGCCTCTCTCTTATCTTTCTCTTTTGCACCATCGCTCTGTCCTTTGTCATCCTATTTTTTTCCCTTTGCAAATCTGAGTCATGGTGTCTCTTAGACAGTGCACTCCAGAGTCTCTTGCTCCTGTCTGCTGTGCTCAGACAAGCGCCTCCTGCCCTGCTCCAATATACTTTTTTAATCTTCTCTCCCTGCCTACCATTTTACTGCACTCCCTCCCCAATAGCCAGTCTTCATTTCTTTCATGTTCATGGCAGCTTTTACCACCAGTGTTGCCTCTGCAGTTGTCTGATAAGGTGAAACTCAGGTGCACGTTGTCTGCTTTATTGTCTTGTTGCTGTTGTTGTCTTTTTCTCTGTACGTCTCTCAAATTATTTTACTTTTACCTATTTCTCTCTCTCCTGTGAATTTTTCTCACCCCCTTACACACACACACACACACACACACACACACACAAGGTTTTTTATTGTTAATTAAGAATATGGGTATCTTAGACACATGGCTGGATTAAACACACTGTATTTCAGTTGTTCCCTTCATATGTGAGATATTTATTTATTATGGTTGCACCAACCTAGTTTCCAGCCGGTTGTGTATGTATCCTCTTCATTTATTCAGTCTAAAGCTTCATCTGTTTACTCTCTGATCTCCCATATCTGTTCACCAGTGCCCTTGCTCGATCGTTTGTGTTCAGCCTTGCTTTACCCAGATGAAGGACTTAAGGCTTCAGTCCTGTATGTGTGGCTGAAACTGTTCAGGACAGCTGGCGGCTCGGCGGTCCGGTCTTTGGCTACTGTCATCAGGGACAGAGTGTGTATCCTGTTGCTGCAGACCTTGACCAACGCCGGCTCCCCACAGCTCATCAATAGCTGTGCTGGTGAGAAAAACATCTGTCAGATTTATTCATTTATCATTATTTTTATGGGTTATTTGAAGACAAAAACACTTTAATACAAATGTTAAATGGGATGCACAGGTGACATTCAGTACATTTTACAAGATGAATTTAACATCTAATGCTGGAAAAATGACAATGATAGAAACCACACATATTTGATAACATACATTAAATTGTTCTATTGAGAAAATTAAAATATTCTTCTTTGAACTGAAAGCTTTAATCACCACATGTGTGTGGAGTGAGTTTTGTGCCTGTTTCACTCTGGAGATTTTTTTTTTATAAACATTAGTGAGTGCATCAGCTGCCGGAGTAAAAATCTGCATTAGTTATTGGCCTCATTTACATTTATAAAGCACTAAATGCACTGAGTGAGACTGAGTTCTTTTCATCTAAAGGTTGTTGAAGTAGTATAGTAATATAGGGACGTATGCAAAATACAATTTCCAAGTTAAGGTCAGGGGAGGATGTTATAAAAATTGCATGAAACCTTCACCTAAGCACAACAACTGCCTTAATGACAGTCTGTGGAAAAGGCTATTATGAATTTGTTGTCATGTATGAAACATATAGCCTCACTCCAGGCTGAGAAATAATGTAGGATGAGGACAATTATGGTATGGACTTACAAGAGGAATAAAAGACTTTATAGTGCGGATGGAAATTATGTTGTTTCACGTCCAACCACAGTCTAGCTAAGGGCGAGGCAGGATGGAAAAAGAGGAGGGATTATACTG